GAACTGGACTGGGTCGATCGTCGGCGACCAGGTAGCTCAATTGGTTAGAGCGTCCGTCTAAAGACCGGAGGGTCCCGGGTTTGAACCCCGGTCTTGCTGTATATTTTTTACTTTCCTGTTACAATACCATCAAAAAATGTTGACAGGAAAATATTACTGAAGTTTGTATACTTAATAATTGAATATTTGATATATATTACAGTCAGACAGTCAAAGACAAAGATGGCGCTGTGAAAGATCCAGAAACTGGTGGTGTAATCAACCTAAATAAACTTGGGTAAGTGTAGTGAGAGTGTAGTCTACCTCAATAAACTTAAGTAGGAATCAGAAATTCAGTTGTCTCTTACCAGGAAGGAACCAGTGAGAGTTACAGTTAGCTGGAGTAGGGGGTAGGGAGTTGTTTCTTCTCATGTACAATGTCTGTAGGAGGAAATATACCATTAAACCATGTCTACAGGAAACTTAAATCATGGGGTGTCTTTGAAAATTTATACAAGTCTTTGTGCAATATTAATTAATACAACGACTTTTGATAATCTTGGTAATTCAGATGTTCAGTATATACAGATACAGCACTATAGACCAATGAAACCTTTCTCGTACTCAAAAAGCCAGATACTGTTCTGGCCCAAATCCTTGATCAGGTGATAAATTATTCAAATTTCACATTTTTCAAATAATTAAAGGGAATTTAACCTTTCGCAATGAGTTACATGCAGTCAGGTTGTTTGAGCATAGCATTTAAACTTGGGCATGAGAGTGATTTAATGAATACAGGCCGAGATGTTTTGATAAAAGATGGCTGAGCTAATGAAGCACATTGTGAAGCACAGATAAATGTGATCTTATGTATACATAATGTTTTCCAGGTCGTCTAACGTAAAAGTCAGTGACACAAGTTACTATGAGCTGAACCCCTCCAGTATAGTGGGTTCGTGTACAGATTCTGTTGTTTGTCTACACGACACCACATCTACAGTACAAAATATTGGGGCGTATTCAAAGAGAAAATTTTCTTTTGAAGGTAAGAAAAAATCTTCTGTAGAAAAATAACTTTTTGAAATGTATACTGCAACTTAGATAATCATTGAAAAATTATTGATCATCCGGAAAAGTTCAAAAATAATTTGGAAAGCCAAATGATAATCCTTAATGTTCACTAGTAAATGAAAATCAAGGAAGCTCATAATTAATAGTTCTGTATTTAATTACTAATTACTATTCCTGCTTATTTACTGCATTATTGTTGACCTGAACATATGTCTGGAGAGGCTTTGGTGAGAGTATCAATTTGACATGCTGTATACTAATCTTAAATGAACCAAAGGGCCAAGGTAGCTTACCTATGTAATGCCACATACAGCATCTGGAATATTCCTTAAATGGTGCAGCTTCCAAGGGAACAGGGGACATTGCTCCAGATGTGGTTATCAAATTTGACCTTTATTAGACTTCTTATTACCGTACATATCAATGAGGGGAATTTAACCAAATTTAGCCTGAAGCTTATCTTGGCCAGGGGGAATTAATCTTGTTCATTTATACCAGTTAATATTTAAAAGATTACTTACTAAGCATGAGCAAAGGGATTTGGTCCTTTTTGACATGGATTATTCATATTAGAATTTGATTTTGTATAAAATGAAGATCATGGTCGCCCTGTGGATTAGATGGAAGGGTGGGGCCCCAATCTGAGAGCTTGGGTGGTGGTAAATCTTAAACAGACTACTTAAAGTTTCACATTCCAAGTGCTGCTGTTTGAATTCTTTTCTTCTATAAACAAACTGAGATGGCCATCATGATCTCAAGTTAGCAGAAACGTTTCAACTAACTGTATAGCTCAGATAGCAAGACAAATGAGCAATACACCAGCCCAATGAAAGTTAACTGTTTATAGATTTGTTCTCTCAAATTTCTATGCCCAAGCTTGTTTGTATATTTATGGCCCTTTATTTGAGATGTGGGT